TCGCCCAAAACTCACCACCGGGTGTTCTCACCACCACGTTTGGGGACCACCAATGCTTCCCTTTTCTATGCCCTGGCGGTACCGGGGGGGAGGGGGAGGGGGAGGAGGAGGAGGAGGAGGAGGAGGAGGAGGAGGAGAGGAGGAGGCAGGAGGAGGAGGAGGAGAGGAGGAGGAGGAGGGAGGAGGGGAGGGGAGGAGGAGGAGGAGGAGGAGGAGGAGGAGGAGGAGGAGGGGAGGAGGAGTGCATGCGGGTGCTGTCTTCCCCGCCCCCAGGTCCCGTCGGCCGGGGGGGGGGATCAAACTAGACCGCCAGGCAATTGATGTGACAGGCTGGGCGACGAATTTGCTCGAATAAAGCTCGAATAAAGGAAGACAGACATCCTCCTTGCCTCCTCCTCCTCCTGCCTCCTGACCCCTCCTCCCCCCCCTCCCCCTCCTCCTCCTCCTCCTCCTCCCTCCTCCTCCCTCCTCCTCTCCTCTCCTCCTCCTCCTCCTCCTCCTCGTTTAATGTGTCTTATTGCTCTTATTGTTACCAGCATTCGTAGCATTATTATGAATATTCATAGCTAATCATATGATTCGCCTCCTTGTTATTACTAAAACGATTATCAACATGTGTGTTAGTAGAATTAGTCGTACGTTTTTAGTTTTAGTGTTGAGAGTCTTCGTATCAACAGTAATGCGATAAATCGTACGAGTCGTCCTCTTAGTCTCATGAGTAGTTGTACGCATCAACTCATTGTGCTTGCTCTTCTTCTGAATAGTATTAGTATGCGTATGATTCCTCTCCTTCGTCCTCATCTCCCTCCTCCTCGTCCTCCTGCCTCGTGCCTCCTGCCCTGCCTCCTCCTGCTTCCTGGGGGTGCAACTGGGGTGCAGCCGGGTGGCGACATGCACACGACATGCGTGCGAGGGGCCCTCGCGCAACCGTCCGCCCGACACCTCGGCGCGCTGACCACGCCAGAGGGCTCCTCTACCAGAGCGTGGAGCACGCACCTTCCGCATTGCGAGGGGCGCGTTCGCACGCGACCCCGGCCCTTTCCACATGCGGGTGCCTATCGCACCACACAGACGCAGGACTTTCAGGATGAGGCTTCCAGGCGGTCGTGGCTCACTGAACTCTGAGGGTCGCCTCGTCCTCGCAGATGGGCCTATGCGCCCTGAAAACCTATGGCGCACTTGGCAGTCCTCGCAGAGTGCTGGCCGAGGGCCGCCCTGCACTGTCCCGTCCAGGCGCTGCACGCTCCCCCGAACTCAGGAGCCACCTCGGCCCCCGACCCGTTCCTCGCTCCTCGCCTTCGAGCAGCAACTCCCTTCCCCCCTCCCCCCTCCGTCCTCCCCCCGTTCTGCGTCCCCCCCCCCCGGGCTTTTATCCCGCCCCACGGGATCACGAGTGCGCAAGGCATTTCAGTTTCGGTGCCGAAGCTGTGTCTGCCGTTTGGGGCCCCCTTTTTCAGGAATCCCGCCCCAGGACCGTCAGCAGGAGCCACCTCGTCGAGAAGCGCGCGCGCCCCGGCCCTCTCGCCCCCCACCCCCCCCCCCGTGTGAGGACCGTCTTTAGGCCTCACCCGTGAGGACCGTCAATAGGCCTCACACACCGCGCAGCTTCCATCATAGGGGCCGCGTGGGTCCCCCGCCACACCTTCACATGAAGGCGTTAACAGCCACCGGAGGAGACCGAGGACCTCCCTGCAGCCCCTCGGCCAACGAAGACGGCTGCAGGGAGGGGCCGAACGTACCTCCACACCTTTTCATCTTCACATTATGGCGTCAATTGCCGCCCGCTCGATGTTCCTCCATTTTCCTCCCTCTCCCCCTCTGCTTCCCTCCCCCCCCTCCCCCCCTACCAGCCATTCCCTCTGGGGCAGGAGGAGGCCCAGATCTTAATGACCAACTTGGGCGTGGCACTGCCATCGAGAGCCCGTCAGGTCGGTGGCGGCCCCGCTCGGTGGCAACGCTGCGACCAGGCCAGCCAGAGGTGTCGTGGACACCTCGTCTTCCCCCCGCCCTCTCGCGCCCTCCCGCCCCCGCGCCCTGGCCCCGCCATCTCGCGAGCTCTGCCTGCACCCGTCCCGTGCGCGCTCTCACCCTCAGGAGTTCGCGTCCCATGCGCGCTCCACGGCCGCCGCGAGCCGCTCTGCACGTGGCTGCGCAACGTCGCGCGGGGGCGGGCAACAGAGGCAAGACCCGCGGAGCTCCACGTCATCGGCCACAGCAGCGACGACCCGGCCCCCGCTGGCGGGCAGCGCACAAGCCACACACACACACCCTCAGCAGCAGCGATGGGCGCAGCACGTGCTCAGGCGAGCGGAGGCCGACGGCGCCAGCTGCCGTGCTGGGGCCACCTGCTCGAGAGCAGGGCGGGCAGCGGCGGCACCTGTGTGCGAGGAGGCGGTCGGAGGAAATCGGTCGTCGGCCACGGTGCAGGGCTCTGGTCTCGAGGGAAGGCGCGTGGTGGCAGCAGCCGGCTTCGTATGCGAGAAGGGCCAGGAGCGGCAGCAGGACCTGTCAATGCTCAACGAAAAGGCGGGAGGCGAAGCGAGAGCCCGATGTCCTCAGCTGCAGCGCTAAGATCGGGGCGTGCGAGGAGGGCGAGCAGGCGGCTCCAGCACTACTCTGAGAGAAGCGGGCGGCAGAGCTGGAACCTGAGCTTGCCAGAAAAAGCGCTGGGTAGAGCGTGTGCGAGGAGGGCGAGCAGCGGCAGCAAGCTCAACCACTACTCGAAGGCGAAGCTAGAGCCCGGTGCCGTCAGCCATAGCACTGGGATCAAAGCGTGCGAGAAGGGCGAACAGCAGTTAGCTCCGACATGACTCTGCGAGAGGTGGGGTGCGAAGCTGGAGCCCGACTTCGTGAACCACAACGCTCAGAAGGACGAGAGCGTGCGAGCAGACATCATTAGCACCAACTCTGGGACTTGCTCGTGCGGCAAAGAGTGAGCCGACATAATCAGCCACGATGCTGGGATCGTGTCGGGCGAGAGCGTGCGAGCCGATATCATCAGCACCACCGCTGGGAAAAGGTCGTGCAAGAAGGGATGTGCAGACATCATGTGCTGCAATGCTGGGGTAGGCTGTGCGGGAATGCCAAGGCGTGCGACAAGGGCAGGCAGTGGCAGCAGGGGTGGAGGAAGAACGCGAGCCCGACGTCATCAGCTACAGCGCCGGGCCCATCACCCAAGCCAGTGGAGGGCCGCAGCAACCAACGCGATCAGCCAGAGCGTTGGCGCCAGCTCGTGTGGAGAATCCTCGAGAACGCGCGTGCATCCGCCCGAGGGCACGGGCACGCCACGGCAGCAGCGGTGCCGGCGCGAGAAGGCAGGCCGAAGAGGCAGCGGGCTGCAGTGTCAGAGGCCGCGCGTCGCCGGCGGCAGCTGGGATCGGCGCGCGGCCGGAGCGGCAGCGCGCGCGCGACCAGAGGGGGGGCGCCGGCCTGGGGGCCAGGCTGGGGCACGCGCGTCGTCGGCTCCCAGTCCTCGTTGCTCATTTTGGCTGCGGTGCTGCCGGCAGCTCGCGCGCGAGAGGCCGGAGGCTGGCCGCATGCGGTCTGCCCCGGGGCGGCCAGGGTGGCGGGGCCCTGCCGCGGGGCCGTCGGGGCGTGCCTGCACGCCTCCTGTCGTCCGATTGATCGCGGCACTCCCCAGCGACACCCCCTCCCTCCCTCCCTCCCTCCCTCCCTCCCTCCCTCCTCCTTCCCTCCCTCCCTCCCTCCCCCCCCCCTCCTCCCTACCCCCTCCCTCCCCCTCCTCCTCCCCCCTCCCCCTCCCTTCCTCCTCCTCTCCCCCCTCCCTGCCTACCTCCCTCCCTCCCCCCCTGCCTGCCTCCCTCCCTCCTCCCCCCTCCCTACCTCCGTCCCTCCGTCCTCCTCGCCCGCGCGGTCTCGTCGTCCTCGCCCCTGGAGCTCCTGGACCGGCTCCTCATCCTGAGCCGCTTCCCTAGAGGTCCCGACCCCTTGCCTGGGGCCAGTTTGTCGCCCTGGATCCATGTCTGGTTGTCCTGGGGCACGAAAACAGGCCCTGGATGCCGGCTCCTCTTCGAGTGGCCAGGGGCGTCTCAAGGTCTCCATAGGGCCCAGTGTTGGACGCAGCCCTCCAGAGGCCCCTTGGGAGGCACCCAGAGGCCCTCCGGAGGGGCCCCCATCCACCATCACAGAACTGCTCGCGACGAATACAACTATATGATTATATACACACATAGATACAAACGTTTATACATCTCTTTATATACACATATATATATATATACATATATAAAAATATGTGTATATATATATATGTGTGTGTATCCCCATCCGAGGGACGGCCCTCAGATCCCATCGCGGCAGCAAGAAAAAACGTTCCGAAACGGTAGGCGTTTCATCATCATCCCGGGCCCTGGGTTTCCTTAGGGCCGGCTCTGCGCCCCTGGGGCGGACGGCTCAACACCAATCGTGACGTCGGATGTCAGGGCAGAAGACCCCAGAGGCCCACGACAGGAAAATCCCCTCCACCCCCCAAAAAACACTGACGCTCCTGCCCTCTTCTGGCACGGGCCCCAGACCACTCGGTCCAGCCTCTGGGACAAGTTTCGGCTGCCACGCGCGAGCGACGAAAGGCGACAGCCTCACGCGAGATGGCATAGCAATCTTACGCTGCGGCTTACGCAGGCCGCCAGCGCGGCACGCCACATTGAAGCGAGGGCACTTACGCGCGCAGGCGGTCGTGCGAATGTCGGCGCAGTCGACCCCGTGTCTCTGCGTTGCCCACATGTGAACCCCATGCCTGCGAGTAAGAACTCCTGATGGTCCGGCTGGCGTTCAGAGATCGAAGGGTGCCCGCAGCCAGATGAACCCGAGCGGGTGGAATTTGCACGGACCAGGATGGAACAACAGTATGTGTAATCATGAATGTGCTCACTCTGGTTCGCTGCAAGTTGCAGTTGGGACAAGCTGGTTCCCGGTTGTTCAGCTGCGTTGTAGACGTGCGCGGCCGCAGCTTGATACCCCAGCGACGGAGTGGACCCGTAGGGGCAGGCTTCGCAAGCGGTCGCGGAGCCACTCTTCCGCTGAGGGGCCCGCACTTGCTGCCGGCCCCACCAGGACTCTCGGGAGGGGGAGGGGGGGGGCAGCGAGCCGCGCCAGGAGCCCACACCGCGAGGGAAGCTCGGCCGCCAGCTCGTGTTTTGAGCCGTCGTCTGGCGCCCCAGAGCGGCCAGGTCCCCCCCGGCGGGAGCAAATTCCATACCCACGCACTCGCGATCTGGACCCCGTGGCGCGATCCCGTGGACACGCGGTCGCGTAGCTGGACATCCGCGCGGGGCATCCGCGCCAAGACGCCGCGCATCCAGGAGGCCACGCCCCAAAGGCCCGGCCCCGGAGGCCGTGGATGGATGCCCTTGTGAAAAGCAATTGAGAACGCCCTCTGGGCTACCTTCAGCACCGAGACCCAAAGGAATACTCCGTGGGGGCGGGTTTAGCGGGGCGATGTCTTTAGCGCCGCGCTTTAACCACAACAAATATAGAGTCACTGCCCCACCCGTCCCCGCGACACCCCACGAGGTCGGGGGAGCCCGCACGGCACCCTTGCGCTGCAGGAGCAGCCAGTCGATGTAGTCCCTGCAGCGCTGCCGCTCCGCGCGGGTCCCCGCGATGTACGCCGCGTGCCCGACGTACTGCAGGACGGCGCCAGCCGCCGTCTCCAACTGGCGGCAGCGGGAGGGAAAGATGGAGTGAGTAATCGGTTGGCGGGTGTATTGGGTTACGGTGTAAAGAAGGCGGAGGTACACTTGGACCCGTCTTAAATGACGTCTTCGTTGGCCGAGGGTCCATGACGGAATCCTCGACCCCTCCCAGGTGCCCTTTGACAGCAGACTTGAAGGCCAATTGGCGGCAGAATTGACGGAGGCTCGCGCGGCCGCGCCGAGGCTGAGGGGGGGGGGGGGCGGCGGCGAGGCAGGGAGGAGGACAGGGCGAGGGGGAGCGGCCTGGCGCTCCTGATCTTCCTTCTCCTCCGCATCCTTTTCCTCCTCCTCCTCCTCCTCCTCCTCCTCTTCCTCCTCCTTCTTCTCCTCGTCCTCCTCCTCCACCCCTTTTCCTCATAAGCAGCCCTTCCCTGTCGCAACCCCAGACGTATCGGCAGGGCGAGCCGGGCGTTTCGCCGGAGACTTCCTCACCATGTAGGATCCTGCAGCTTGGAAATTGCAACAGCTTCACGGATGGAGGGCGGGCCGTTTTCAAAATGAGGCTCTCGCCGTAGCGCCGCGCACATGCGTTTGAACATTTTGCATCAGCTTCAAAGATGGAGGGCGGGTCGTTTTCAAAATGTGGCTCTCTCCGTAGCGCCGCGCACTCTCTCGACATAAACGGTTGCCACAGTTTCAAGGATGGAGGGCGGGTCGGTCTGAGAATGTGGCTGTCGCCGTAGCGCCGCGTACATTCCTGATTTAAGTTTGCAACATCTTCAAAGATGAAGCTCGGCTCGTTCTCAACATGTGATTCTCGACTTAGCGCTGCGCACATTCGTTTTAAAAGCTAGCAGCAGTTTCAAAGATTCGCGTAGTCGAAGTTCCAGGAATAATGCACTGGTAAAGTCTGAACACTCCAGTTGATTCGCAACGTTGGAGTCCTAGAAATGGTGCCCTGGCACGGCTTACTGTAGGATTCCAGGACGCAACAATCACGTTGATTCGCAACGCTGAAATCCCAGCAATTGCATTTTGGCAAGATCTAAGATTCTCAAACGGTTACCTTCTAATAAGGCGTTTCCCGGAATGAAAACCCGCCGATTCCTCAGCGTATATGAGACGCCGTCGCCGTCGTCGTCGCCGCCGTCATCGTCGTCGCCAGTCCCAAGGAAATTGAAGAACAAGGAAAAAGAAGGTCATAATTCAGTCGATTCCCTTCCCTGTTTTCCTTCTCTCCGAGGAGGAGGAGGAGGAGGATGGGAGGGGGGAGGGGGGTACGGAGGGGCCCCAAGTCTACCAAGAGAGGTCCCGCTTGTGGGGGGGGGTACTCCCGGGACAGACTACCGCCCCCACCCCTCCCCTGGGTTCCCGGAGGTCCTGGGGAGTTGCCAGCGGGAGTCCCGGGGGAAGTCCTGCCTGTGGTGGTGGTGGTGGGGGATGGTCCTGGGTCGGAGTACCACACGGTGAGGGCTCCTGGAGAGGTTTCGCCTGTGGTGGGGGGAGTTGGGGGGAGGCGTCCCAGGGGGCAGGCCAGTGGGGGCCCTTAGGGGGGATTCCCGGCCTCCAGGGTCGGCGGCAGCGGCCGTCAGGCCTTCTCGACGGACTTGACTCCTGCAGGGCCCTGTGAAGGCAGGACCTGGAGGGAGGGTTTCCCGCAACACCGTTGGCGCGTCTTCTGTTTGCCCTGGTCCCCACCTCCTTCACCAGACTGGGGGTGGGCCTCCTGCTTAGAGGGGCCTGCCCATGCTCCTCTCGGGTCGGGCGAACGGGGGGGGTAGCCAAGGGGGGGGGGGAGAATCAGCTCACGTAGCTGATTTTCCCGGCGCCTCCCGGCGCTGGAGGCGGCTATGTATCGAGGAACAGGCCCCTCGGTGAGGCCGAAACCAGCTGCATGCAGCAAATTTCGTAACCCCCCCTTTCCCAATCCCCCCTTTCGGCCCCGGTTCCTCGCGGGCAGTGCCCCAAATCCACACCCACGGCACCGCGGCGCCGGCCGCCGTCTCCAGCCGGCGACGGCGGCGACGCGCGCGGTCGAGCCGAAGGGTCCGCCGCGCGCGGCAGGCCGCCCGAGGCTGAGGGGGCTCCGGGGGTGGGGCGAGCGGGGGCGCTGTGCAGCTGCTCTTTCACAGGTTGCCTCCGCGCTGCGCTCGGGCATGTGCTTCCCTTGCGCTCTCGCTTCGCGTCCGCTCCGCTCCCGTTCCGCCTCCGTTCAGATACGCCATCCGAGCACAACGGGGCCGTGCGGGCACGAAAACGACGCGGGAGTGGCACGCAAGAACTGCGGATGCTTTGAAGAAAGGAGAGGCACAACGCAGTACGAAGGCTCCCACGAACGGCTGCACAAGGGGCGGTCTCCCGAGAAGGCCTGGGGTGGCCTCTCAGAAGGGCCTGCCCAGTCTCATCGCGTGCGGGAGCCTCGTCCATGTCTAGGAGTAAACGATATCCTGATACGACTGGAGCAGGATGCGTTCCAGGAATTCTGAAGCATCTTGCGGCCGTCGTTTCTGCAGCCCGCCTGAAACTTTAGGAAGTCCGGTGACTCCTGGAAGCCTCGGAACGCATCAGTACCATGACCTCTTGCTCCTCTGCCCTGGGAGCTGGGCCCACGGGCCGCGACGCTTGTGCGGTAACTCACCGGGACCTCCCGCGTCATAGTGGTGGCTCTTGCGGTCGACGCCAACCGGCGCGAATCGACGCTAAGTCGACGACCCTCTGACTGCCTACCAAACCACCCCAACCCAACCCGAAGACCCGAAATTTCGGGTTGGGGGTGGTACGGGCTTCTGTGCTTTCTCAACGTTCCCCGACCCCCCCCCAACTGGAAATGGAGGGCGAACTGGGGCCCTCGGGTTGGGTTGGGGTGGTTTGGTGGGCGGGCGCTGGTGATCGGCGCTCGATCGATGCTACCAGACGCGCACGCACGCCGGCGCACTCCGACGACGGGGCCCCGGGGCCCCGCGAGGCTCCCCTCGAGGTAGCCCACCGCACGGCCCCGCGGGCACGGGTGCTTCTGCTGCGGCGGCGTGCCCGCGCAGGCAGCCATGCGACCGCGCCTCCGCGGCTCCCGGTGGAGCTGGTGACGCCGTGGCCCAGCGGCGCGTCCCCGCCATCCATGAAGGGGCCCACAAACACACCAATAAGTACACACAAGTAAAAAGATTCCCCATATTTCCCCATATTTTCGGGGTTTCTGTCTTCCCCCCCACTTCCCATATTTTCCCATATTTTCTGGAGGATCGACGATTAATTGTGTCTGTGTGTTTCTTTCCCTCCTAAATCTAACACGCCCGTCCCTCGCGCGCCCGGCGGTCTCGGTGGGGGCGGCGGCCTCCAGCCGGATCCGTCGGTCTCTGTCCGCCTGTCCGTCGGTCCGTCCGTCCGTCCGTCCATCTGTCTGTCTGTCCGTCTGTCCGCCTGTCTGTCTGTCCGTCCGTCTGTCTGTCTGTCTCTCTGTCTCTCTGTCTGTCTGTCTCTCTGTCTCTCTGTCTGTCCGTCTGCCTCTCTCTGTCCGTCTGTCTGTCTCCCTCTGCCTGTCTGCCTGTCTGTCTGTCTGTCTGTCTCTCTCTCTCTCTCTGCCTGCCTGTCTGTCTGTCTGCCTGCCTGTCTGGCTCCAGGGCCGCGGAAGCCGCGTCCGCCCTCGCGGCGGGGTGCGTCGCGCCCCCGAGTCCTGCATGCGAGGGCGTGGCCGCCCTCGGGCGGATGGCACTAGGGGGTGACCCCTATCGGGGGTGAAGAACAGGGCCTGTGAAGGCGCCCTTCAGGGCCCCTCTTGGAGCCAGCCGGGGCCCAAAAAGGGCCCTCGAGGGCCCCATTTGGGCGCCCTTTTCGTCATCCACCCCCCACGACCACCCGCCCGACGCTCGTGATTGACGGGGCCCTGGGACACACAAATCAACAGACGCAAACAACAGGACTCCCCATACTTTCCCATAATTATCTTCTGGGTTTTTGTCTTCTCCCCCACTTCCCATATTCTCCCATCTTTTCTAGGGAATCGACGACTAATTGTGTCTCTGTGTTTTTTTTCCCTCCTGAGAGCTCTCGGGGGCTTCTGCGGCACGACCCCCTCCGAAGGGCCGAGGAGGGCTGCGCCCGCGAGGCAGAGGCACCTCCTCGGAAGGCCGCCCCCGCCCCGCCCCCCGCGCCCCCCTCTTTCGTGTCGGGCGAAAGGGGGGGATAGCAAAGGGGGGGTTTGAGAATCAGCTCACGTAGCTCATTTTTCCCGGCGCCTCCCGGCGCTGGAGGCGCCGATGTATCGAGGAATGGGCCCCTCGGTGGGGCCGAAACCAGCTGCATGCAGCAAATTTCGTAACCCCCCCTTTCCCAATCCCCCCCTTTCGTCCGGCCCCCCTCTTCTGCGCGCCGGCGGCCGCGGAGAGCGACGGAGGTCCCAGAGATTGCCAGGGGCACCCGCGGCACGGGGAGCGTCGCGCCCGTGCGGGCGGTCGCCGGCGGGTCCTCCGCTGCTCCACCCGGCCCGCTGCGCCCCGCGGCCGCCCCTTTGCGAGCCCTCCGCCCCAAGAGGCCCCCAGGCGGACCCCCAGAGGCGCCCCCAGAGGCCCCCCAGGGGCCCCCCAGGGGCCCCTCAGAGGCCCAGGAGAGCCCCAAGAGCACTCCCGAGACAACCCCAAGAGGGGAAAGCGAACGATGCTCCTGAGGTGCTTGAGTGGTGTTCGTCGTCGCCGGCGTCGTCGTCCCCACTCAGGGTCGGCGGCACCGGCCGTAGAGCCTTCGCAAGAAAGCTGCGTGCTGCCGCGCCGCGCGCCATCGCCCATCCTCTACTGCACAAGGCAAGAGCTCTCCAGAGATCTGCAGTGGGCTGGGGCCTTGGGGGTCCCAAAACGGTGCGGTGGCCCCAAGACACCTCACCGCCCAGTCCAACGCCGCACGGCCTTGGGACCTCGGAGGCCGCGGTCGCACGAGACGTTCTCGGAGGAACGACCCAAGTACCAAAACCCTGCGGCCACCCCGAGTCCCCACCGACCTCACCACACGGCGTGCTTACCACACCGTCTTGGGCGCCCCGAGAGGGCGACCGCCGCGAGAAGCGAGCGCCCAGGGCCCGGGCGGGACGGAGGGATCTGAGTTCTGACTTCTTTGTTGGGAGCCGAGAAAACTGTACGGCCCGAAACAAGCTCGGTCCAACAGAAAGCATAGAACAGAAAGCATAGAACAAACATGCTCGGTCCAAACAAACTGTTCGGCCCCCTGACCGGCGGCGCCGCGCGCGGGAAAAAGCGCGGAGGGCGGGGAGCCGCCGCCTTCTTCCTGGTGGCCCCCTCCTTGCCCAGGGCGTAGCTCAGCTCGTCGTCCTTGAAGAGTATTCGGTCGGTGTCGAAGCCCGGTCGGTAGGACTTCTTGGTGGTCTGCGGGGGTGGGGGGGGGGGGCGCTCTCGCAGCCATCGCCACGGGACTCGTAGGCAAAACAGATCTCCTTATCCGAGGCCTCGCGGGCCTCGGATAAGGAGATCTGTTCCTCCACTGCTGGTCCTCCTCTGCTCCACTGCTGGTCCTCCACTGCTCCACTGCGCCCGTGCGGGCGGTCGCCGGCTGGTCCTCCACTGCTCCACTCGGCCCGCTGCGCCCCGCGGCCGCCCCTTTGCGAGCCCTCCGCCCCAAGAGGCCCCCAGGCGGACCCCCAGAGGCGCCCCCAGAGGCCCCCCCCCCCCGAATCGAAGCAAGATCGGATCGCCGACCAAGATATCCCTATAAGGCCCCCCAGACCACACCGAAAACCCTAAAACCTTCCTGAAACCTTCCTAAAACCTTCCCCAGGAGGGTTTTGGGAAGGTGTTTGGGGAAAACCTTCCTGAAACCTTCCTAAAACCTCCCGACCAGCGCCGGTTGGACACAACCGTTACCGGTGAAGCGAGCCGAAGCGAATCGAATCGGACTCCTGTACCCAACCCGCGAATCGGATCGCATCGCGGACCCTCCGCGTAGCTTTCTCCAAAATATTGATCGCAGGGGATCTCCAGGCCACCTCATGGCCGCTCTGTGCGCAGCTACCTCGCAGTAGAGACCCGCACTATGCCCTGCGTTGACTCCAAGATGACCCGAACACACACGCATCCCACAAAAGCTCAACTGAAAACGGAGCAGCCTTAACAAGGGATATGCTTCAACAGCCTTCGTCTAGCCGCTGGTGGACCCCCCGTGCTGTACTACGAGGCCGTGGCCGAGAGGCCGCCCCAGGAGGCCCCTCTAAAAGGCCAGAGACCGTCCAAACATTCGAACCCGTCGATCCGACGGGGAGGGAGCTCTGCCGCAGGCTCACGCCGCGATGACGTCGGCGCTGGTTCCTCACACGGCGCGGAACGTTCCACCCTGAAGGATCGCGGCTTGCAGATCTGGGCATCGCTCGGACGTCCATTCCCTGTGTTTTTTCGGCTTCGTGCGTGTTTTTGTTCGCCAAATCCTCAAGGATGCTCCTCGATGGTCCTCGCCAAAGGAAAAAATGCACACGTCCGAGCGATGTCAAGTGCAGATGGCACAGCGCGGATCCGCTGACCTCGACTGGCTCGCCGGGCCACCGGCGGCGCTCTCGGCCCCTTGAGCGCCCGCGCTGGGGCCGCTCGCTGCAGCGCCAGCGCGGTGCGAAGCTGCTGCACTTGTTTGAGGGGCAACGAAATGGGCCCTGCGATACACAAATAAATACACACAAATAGAAAGATTCCCTGTATTTTCCTACCGCATAGACCGCCCTTCGGGTGATAAGGAGGTGAGGGGGGGAGGGACCAACGTCGCACTCGATTGATCTCACTATCGAACTCACTACCGATCTCACAATCGATCTCAATCGATAGATCTCACAATCGATCTGACTATCGATCTCACAATAAATCTCACAATCGATCCCACAATCGATCTCACATTCGGTCTCGCTATTGATCTCACAATCGATATCACAATCGATCTCGCATTCGATCTGACTATCGATCTCACTGTCAAACTCACTATCGATCTCATTATCGATCTCACATTCGGTCTCACTATCGATCTCATTATCGATATCACAATCGATCTCACAATCGATCTCGCATTCGGCCTCACTATCGATCTCTCTATCGAACTCACTTTCGATATCATTATCGATCTCACTATCGATCTCACTATCGATATCACGACCGAACTCACAATCGATCTCACATTCGGTCTCATCATCGATCTCACTATCGAACTCACTACCGATCTCATTACCGATAGTGATCTCACTACTAACTCAATCGATCGACCTCACAATCGATCTGACTATCGATCTAACAATAGATTCCACAATCGATCTCACATTCGGTCTCACTATCGATCTCACTATCGATATCACAATCGATCTCACAATCGATATCCCATTCGGTCTCACAATCGATCTCACTATCGATCTCATTATCGATCTCACATTCGGTATCACAATCGATATCACAATCGATCTCACAAGCGATCTAACATTCGATCTCATGTTCGATCTCACAATCGATATCACTACCGATCTCACTATCGATCATCAAAACAAAACATCAATATCGTCATCATCATCACCATCATCATCATCATCATCATCATCATCATCATCATCATCATCAATATCATCACCATAATCGGGACACCGACGGGGCACCGGCGGGACACCGCGGGCCCCCGGCCGCCCGGAAGGGAGTCATTTGGTCCGGCCGCGCCTCAGCCACAGGAGACTTCCTCTCGCCCGCCCACGCAGCTTCGCCTCGCCCGCACGGCACGCACGAACACGAAACCGAAATCGATTTCCTAGTAAGGGGGCTCTCCGTTCCACTTCGATCTCACCCCCTCACCTCCGATATTTTCTGGGTTTTTGTCTTCCCCCCCACTTGCCATATTTTCCCATATTTTCTGGGAAATCGACGATAAATTGTGTCTGTGTGTTTCTTTCCCTCCTGAGATGCATCGATCTAGAATCGGCGATACATCGCCGAGAGATAGGCGATAGGCCTCCTAAAGTGGATCCGCACCTGCCTGGGCAGATTGGGGCTCTCGGGCTCCTATCGGCGATCAGTGGGCGACTGGGGGTCGATGCCTCCCCCCCCGTGTGCGTATCCCCGCCTCTCGCTGCCCCTGATTGTTTCGAGGGTTGCCCGAGGCATTCCGGGCCAAAAGGTGACCACGTATCGCGCCGCTCGGGAGCCCCCCTTGGGGCAAGGGGCCACCTGGGACTCACGAGAGAGGGTGCTCTGGAGGCCGCCGGGCCTCCCTGGGGAGTGCGGCGCCGGAAACTCCCAGGGGACACCTCGTGCGAGGGGACACCTCCCCCTGCGATCCGACGTCCCGAGGCGGGATCAGACCATCGACGATGGTCCGATTTTTTTTCGCTCGACCATCGACGATCGTCGAACGATTGGGCCATCGACGATGAAACTTGGATGATTCGTAGGGAGTCCCGACCAGAGCCCCAGAGCCCCAGAGCTAGGGGAACAAAAAGTGATATAAACATAAAAACTCGGAGGTCCGCGCGGATTTCTCGGATCGGCGCTGGGCCCCCCGGCGGCGCCTCCGGCGCCGCCCCTGGCGCGCTCCGCGCGCCAGGGAAGTGGGGTCCAGCGCCGATCCGAGAAATCCGCGCGGACCTCCGAGTCTTTATGTTCATGTGACTTTTTGCTCCCCTAAGAGCCCCACCTTCCTTCGGCGGTGGACAAACCTCCCTTTAGCACACCTCCCTTCAGTGAAAACGGCCCAGGACCGAAACCGACGGACCTGGGCCCGCAACAAAATGACGGCCGCGACGCCCTCTCGCGAACCGAAAACGGCCATTTCACTAATCGACGCGTCAGGGTAGGAGGTCTATCAACCTCCGATTCCTGCGGCGCCCGTCGAGCCGCCTCCACCCGTGAGGGCCCCGGGGCCCGACGCGGGGCGACGTGGTGGCCCGGCGCGGCAGGCGTGCGCCGCCCGCACCTCGGGGGCCGCCCGCGGGGGAGGCCCCGGGCAGCGGCCGACCGCTGCCCAGCCAAAGTCGGCCGCACGCAGGAGTGACCCCGGGTGAGAGTGACCTTTGGTGCGCGGCTCTTTGGGGGCCGCGGGGGGGCCAAATCCGGGCGCGCAACCAGCTGCTGCTATAGTGCTTCGTCTTCGGCCATCTGGGGGCCCATCTGTGCCCGCACCAGAGGTCACTCCGGCGAAAGGTCACTCTTACGTCTAGTCGACAGAGGCCTCCCCGACGACGCCCGAGCAGGCGGGGCCGCAGGCTCGCGCCGCGGCGCCGAGGCAGCGGCGATACGTCGGCGCAGAGGATTTCGGGCCCCACGGCGCGAGCCGCGTCGCCGAGGCCTCGGCGGTGCGGCGCGGACCCCTCCGACGCCGTCTGCTCGGACCCCGTCGGGGAGGCCTCGACCGGCCCAGACGTCCGGCGCTCCGATTCTGGTCGATGCGTGGGCCCCCAGGGGTCTGGACAGCTTCCCCGGGGCTGGTGTTTCGTCCCGAGTCGTCTTTCGACGGTCTCTGGACCCCTTGAGGGCCCCCCGAGGCCGAAGACAGCCCAGAACTGGCCGCTCCAGTGTCTTCGGAGCCTCGAATGTCTGGGGAGACTGCCCGACGGCTCCCCGCTCTGGCGCTGCCAGGTCTCGCGTGTAGTAGCCGGGCATCTTCGTCTCCACGCCGCTCATCACCTTCAGCTCCGAGCCCCGGCGGGCCCGCCTCTGCGGAAGTGGGCCAAGCGCAATGGGGGGGGGCGAGGGTCTCACAGGGAGGGAGCCAGGCTGGGAATGGCCTGAGGACGAAAGGATGAAAATGCGGTGGCAACTCATGGGAGCCTCCTATACCATCTTGCCGGCTGTTGCGAATCGACGCTAGTCGACGCTAAATCGACGCTAATCGACGCTAATCGACGCTAGCCGACGCCAAATCGGCGCTATCTCATCGTCTCCCAGACGCGTATCGACGCTAGCCGACGCTAAAGACAGACTTGCGAGGGTATACCAGGCTCCCATGATTTGCCACCGAATGCAAGGATGAAAAGACAGCACGCCCTCAGAGCTGCAGGCGGTGCTGACCCGAGCCGCGCCATCCGAGGGCCTGCAGGGAGCCCCAGACAACACAAGTCCATAGCCGCCCCTACTCCGGAGGGTTCCAAAGAGGGTTTTGGGGTAGCCTCGGGCCGCGCAGTGCCAGCTCCGTGCAGGAGGGGCCCGACGCTTCCCGGGAGCCGGGCGTGGCGGAGGGGGAGGGCGATCAACGGGGGGGCGAAGAAGCGCTCAAGTGGGGGCCCCAGGGGCGCCCCTTCAGGCCCCCAAGGTGCACCCTTTTTCTTCACCCCCCCATCGAACGCCCCCCCCCCCCCCCCCATGACGCACTGCCCCATGGAGCGCACTTGCCGGAACGCTTCCTGGTCGGGGTGGAGCGCCCGAAGGTGCCTGCCAGGACGCTCCCGTGGACAGGGCGCCCGCCAGGACCTCGAATCCCGGTCTACGTCAGGTTCGTATCGTGCCGACTTCGGCGTTGAGGGTGACCCCGAAATCCTCGTCAACCGTGGTTTATTATCTAGGAATGATAAACCTAAGTTCAGCATGTTCAGATGATACCCCCATTGGGTTATTGTCCTGTGGACGGATCGGTGTCCCCCTCCCTCGCCGGATCATTTTCATTCCAGAATAATGCATCTGGGGTCGACATTCCGACATAATGAACCATGGTTGATCCCAATCCGAACTCCTTCTCAGGCGCCCCCCCCTCCGCCAGATCACTACCATTCCGAAATAGTAAGCCTGAGTTTATTATTCCCAAAACATTATGAACCCCAGTTGATAATGTTCAAGACATAACGGACTAGGGCCAATATTCTATCACAGCGAATCCCAATTTGGAGGCGCGGGGCTGGGGGACAATAATAATTATAATCATTCCAGAATCATAAATCCGGATTCAGAATATCCGCCTATGGCTCAGGCGACGCCCCTCAGCCTCCGTTATTATCATTCCAGAATCATAACCTGGGCTCATTATTCCCAACACTTAACCAACCCCAGCCAACATTCCGAAAACATTATGAACCCAGGTAAATCTCTGTTGGGGGTCGATATTCCTGGAACATGATAAACCAAAGTTTACAATGTTCCCCCGGAACATTCTGAACCCCAGTCAATATGTCCCGGAACATTGAAACGCAGGTTCATAATGTTCCGGGGGGGACATCATGAACCCTGGTCAATAATCCCGGAACATGATAAACCCAGGATAATAATATCTTTTTGGGGTTCGTCATGTCGGCGTTGGTTTCTGGCACCGCGGGGATCGTTCAACCTTGAAAAATCGGCCGATTCCGAAATGTCCAAATGGTTCCACATCGAACGATTCTGGGCCGCCCGCGGCGTTCCACGTGGCACGCCGCTGGCGGGGTCGCCGCCCGTCGACACGGCACGAACGGACCGCAAGATGCTGAATGCCTCCCTGGTGGCATCACCACCGCCGGGATGACGCACAGCTGGCCCGCCCCCGGAGGATTTGGACGCCCGAAATGGGTACGGAAAGAATGGGCACAATGCCCAACAACAAATGTTGTCCCAAACCAGCAGGCGGCCTTCTGTCTCGAACGGACACAGGCCGCGGCGGCGTGGACAGCGAATCCTGTTCAAAATGAACAGGAACTGCTGTTGGACATCGTACCCATTCTTTCCGTACCCATTTCGGGCGTCCAGAGAGGAGGGGGCAAGTCGTGGCTAGCCTCGGCAGGCCCCCGGCAGGAGGACGCCAACGACACCAGCACACCGGCCCGGGCCAGGCCCGGCTCGAGGCCCAGGATCGATGCCTACATAGCCATCCCCCACCCTCCTCCTGGCTTGGGCAGGGATGGGGGGGCCACGTCGGGGGGGGACTGGCATATAGGGGGGGGAGCATCGACCTGGAATCGGCGGTGCATCGCGGGTAGGTCGCCGATGCGTGGGCGTGATGGTAGTTTCGCCCAATATCGCAAAACTGCGGCGCTCTGGGCCACGATGCCCTGGAATGCCGCAGGTTGCAGACGAACACCAGACCATCCTTGGTTCCGAACTGGGCGCACCAAAAATGAGAGGATGCCCCACGCAATTCGTTTGAGTCCATATCACGTTGTCGAGTAGGTCCCGCACGAAACGCTCACGCTTATATTGTTTCGAATCAAATGTGAACCTGGTTCGAACCTGCTTTTCGAAGAAGTCCCGTGCGGAACGCTCACTTTTCTATGGATTCGAACCGAGTTCGAACCTGGTTTGAACCTAATTCCCGATGAAGTTCCGCACAAACGCTGACTCTTCTATTGTTTCGATCCGAATTCGAACCTGGTCCGAACCTGCTTTTCGAGGAGGTCCCACACGAAACGCTCACCTTTCTACTGTTTCGAGCCGACGTCTGTTGTTTCGAACCGACTTTCGAACCCGGTTCGAACATTTTGGGGGGAGGAAGCTCCACGCGGTTCGCCGTGTTCGAACCGCCGCCCCGTTTAGCCGTAGAAGAACTGCATTAGGGGTACAAGCCCGAGGTTGCCCGCCCCCTGCTGGCACAGCTCCACTCAGGTCACTGTACTAAGCTCCGCGCGCTTGACGGGGCAACCTCCAGTCCACGCTGCGCCAGCGTGTGAGAACTCGGGCGATCGTTCATCACGGCACAGTAGGCCCCCGATAGCGCAGCCGCCCCTTCCCGGGCGGCGGTGGGGCTGTCGGGACCCTGTCGGCGATCCATGGGCGATTGGGGGTCGATGCACCCCCTCCCCGCTATGCCCATCCCACCCGTCGTTGCCCCTGATCGGCGGTGGACAAACCTCCCTTTAGTAAACCTCCCCTTAGTGAAAACGGCCTGGGACCGAAACCGACGGACCTGGACCCGCAGAAATGACGGCCGCGGCGCCCTCTCGCGAGCCGAAAACGGCCAATTCCTGAATCGACGTGTCAGGGTAGGAGGTCTATCCTGACTACCTACCAGACCACCCCAACCCAACCCGAAGACCCGAATTTCGGGTTGGGGGGGTAAGGGTTCCACGTGTGTTGTTTCGATGTTTCCCGACCCCCCCCACTGGAAATCGAGGGTAAATCCAAGCCTTCGGGTTGGGTTGGGGTGGTTTGGTGGGTGGTGATATCCACCTCCGACCCGCGGGAGCAGCGCGCGTGCGCCCCTCCTGGGCCCCGGATTTGATGACTGGATATTCCCAGGCAGTTCGAGCATTCGAAACGAAGGAAGCGGCCGCAATGAAAAGGCCTCGGGCTGGCGGCGGGAGCCAAAAAGAGCAGCTGCCGAGCGCTGAAAGCTCAGACCGCCAATCCCTAAACAGTGCAGGCACAGCGGCGCGAGGAAGAGAACGCGCGTGCGCCCCGCCTGGGCCCCGCCTCGGCCCGGCGCCGGGCCCGGCGGCCAGGCGTGCAGGCGGGCCCGGCGGCCCCCTCGAGCAGCACCACAAGCCCACTCGAGCGATCGGGGCTGCCCCCTGGGCGGCCCCGGGCGGCCTCGACGCCCCCGGCAGGAGCGCGGAGCGACCGGACTTCCAGCGAAGGCATCCATACACCACCGCCGTGCCAGGCCAGGGCCATCCTGGGCCCTGGGATGGTGTGTACGCCATCCTGGCCGAGGCCAGGAGGGTCTCTACACCATCCCGGGGCCCAGGATGGCCCTGGCCTGGCAGGGCGGTGGTGTATAGATGCCTTCGCTGGAGAACTGGGGGGGGGCGGGGCGCGTGGATGAGGCGCGCGATGGCGAGACCTCGCCGGACGGCCCACCCGGGCCACGCAGAAGCGGCGGGGTGGGTCCACGGCGACGTGGGGGGAGCATGGTCTCTTCGGCGATCGCCGAGCTCGCGCAGCGCAGAAGCAGCAGGAGAGCACGAGCGGCGCCTTCCTGCGATCGGGGCTGGCCGCGAACCACCCCCACCCCCCAACACCGAAACCAGCATCGCCGTCACCCACGTCGCCGTGGGCGTGTCTCTGCGGGCCCAGGGGGGCCCGCTGGGGCCCGCCAGGGCTGCCTCCTCCGAGGGCTGCCCCGTCACGCGACCCGCGCGCACGGGCCAGATCGGGGGGGGCCCAGCTTTGTCGGACCCCGGGCCCGACGGCTGCTTTTCTGGACGGGTTTCGACCGCCACTTCCCCCCGTGGGCGGTGGGACGCTCGGGGAGAAAACGTTTGATGGGCCTGTCTTCCACCACCACCACCACCATAAGTCGGAGGGGGGAGGGGGCTTCCTCCTCAGTCTCCACCGCCCTTCCCCCTCCAACTTGTAGTGGTGTGGCGGTGGAAAACGAGCCCATCAACGTTGTCTGGCCCTGGATCCCGGTGGCGGTGCCAACTCGCAGGCCTCTGGGGACAGCCAACCCCGGCGCTGGCGCTGCCTCCCCGGAACCGCTGGGAGGGTTGCCAGCGGTTCGCGGAGCGCCGCACGGGGGCGCAGGGGCTTCCGCCGAGCAGACCCTTCGCCCTCCTGCTCTTAGTGCTCCTCGGTTCCGACGACGTGACCTGCTCAATGCGTGGGCCCCAGAGGCCTCGACGCCTTCCTGGTGATCGGTTTTTCGTCGCGGATCAGACTTGACGGTCCCAGAGCTCGACAGCATGCAAAGGAAGAACAACAAGCATGCACACAACAACAGCAGCAGCAGCAACAACAACAACCACAACCACAACCACAACAACAACAATGACAACCACAACGGCAACAATAACGACAACGACAACGACAACAACAATAATATCAACAACCACGCAAACAACCACCACAACAACAACAACAACAACAACAACAACATCCGCATCAGCATCATCATCATCATCAGTATCATCATCCTCATCATCGGCAACATCATCATCATCAGCTTAATCATCAACAACACCAACACCACCAACCACAAAAATAACCAGACAACAACAACAACAACGACAACAACAACAACGACGACAACAACAACAACAACAACAACCACAGCAACCAGGCAACAACAACAACCAGGCAACAACAACAAAACAACAGCAACAACCAGACAACAAAAACAGCATAACAATAACAACACCAACACCACTGACAGCAGCAACATCCGCACAACAACAACAGCAACAACAACAACAACAACAGCAGCAACAACAACCACAACAACAACAACAACAACCACAGCGACACCAACAACACCACCAACAACAACCACCAGATAACAACAATAACAATAACAACAATAACCACAACAACAACACCAACACCACCAACCACAACAACAACCACGACAGCAAAACGCCAACCACAACAACAACCACAAAAACAAAACCAACAACAACATGAACAGGATAAACAAACAGCAAAAACGATGACAAACAAAAAAACGTTTACATATACGCACACGTCTTCGAAGTTGAAGGTATGGGTCTGTGTCCCTCTCCCCACTCCTCATCTTCATTTCCCCTTCTCGCCATCATCATGATCATCATAATCATCATCACCACCACCATCATCATCACCATTTTCCTCCTACTCCTCATCATCATCATTATCGTCGTCGTTGTCATCATCATCAGCAGCATCCTCAGCATCATCAGTTTCATCATCCTCGTCGTCTTCGTCGTCATCATCATCGTCATCATCATCACCACCACCATCAGCACCATCAGGAGCAGCATCACCATCATCGTCCTCATCCTTATCCTTATCCGCATCCTCATCACCACCATCCCCCTCCTCGTCCTCGTTGCTGGGAGCAGCCTCGACCCGAAGATCGCCAGCCGCTCGGTCCTCGCCTTGCCGCTGACCTCGTCCTCGGCCTTGTTGACGAAGAACATCAGCGAGCCCCACTCGTCCTCGATCGCGCCCAGGGTGGCGCGCCGGTTCCCGGTGATGTAGCCGACGCAGTCCGTGGGTATATCCACGACGGTGCAGTCGTCGCGATCCTGCCAGCGGTGGACGTACACGGGCCCCTCGAGCTGTTCGAACAGCCATCGGATGTACTGCCGCGCCCGTGCCCGCTCCTGTGCGGCTGCCGCCGCGCAGGCCCCCGCTCTGAGACGGGGGGGCCGGTGGGCGCCCTCCGGCGGAGCGACACAGGGGGGAGGGGGGACTGCCACGGCCCAGGGTGGCACCCTGCCACCGCGGGTGTTGCCGGAGGCGTCCCCGGCCCGAAGGTGCGCCCCCAGCTCTCCCCGCGCCCTTCGGGAGCCCCTGCTGGGGCCCCGCCCGGGCCTCGCGAGGGGGGGCGCTCCGGAGGCCGCGGGGGGCCCCGGGGGCAGCCTGGGCCAGGGACGCCTCCGGCAACGCCCAACTCCCCCGCTCCTCCCCCCGCAGACGTCCGACCCCGACTCTCCCCCCCCCATCCGCACCCCCGGGCGCCACCGGCCGCGGCCGGTCTCGGCGCGCCACGGGGCCGCGGGGGCGCCGGCCGCGCGCTGGGCGTCGTGGCGTCTCCTCCGAGGTGCCGGAGCAGATCCGCGGGCCCCGCTGCGCGGGGGCGACGCGGAGACGCCGGCCTCGGCTCGAACGCCGCTCTGACGGAGCGGGGCGCCGCGGGGGCGGCGCCCTTTCCTTCGCCTTCGTGCTCGCAGCCCTCGTGCTAGAACAAGGGACGGCGAACAAGGACAAAGGGTGCTTTGTTGGCCACGGCGGGCCTCGGCCACGAGCAGGTTCCCCGGTCCAGATCTAGGGAGCGCCCCGGAAGCCAGAGCCCCTCCTGAGCCAGACGTGGTCCTGAAGTCGGCGTCTTGGCTACACCTTCGAGGCCATGCCCACGCGACAGCACGCCTCTGCTGAGCGTCGCTGGGCGCTCTGGCTTGGCCAGCTCTCAAGGCCAAGCCCGCAGCTCGAGGCAAGCCGACTCGACAAGGGGGGGCAGCTCTCTACTACCTGGGGTGCGGCCCGCAATCACCCCATGCCCCTGCCCCTCCTCCTCCTCC